TATATATAAAATTAATAGGCTAACTAATAATTTTAAACATCTTTAGCCCTAAACTATTTTTTTGCACTTTTTTATTTTGAATTTCAAAAAATATACTTTTTTAATCTTTTCTTCAATTAATCCATTAATTCTATCCATAGATGCATATTTTTAGCCCCTGGAGTATATATATAGATAAAATTAATAGGCTAACTAAGAAGAATTAAAAAATTGTATTTTTTATAATTAAGGATAAAAAGTGTAAAAAATAATATAGAGACTAAAAATATTTAAAATTAAAAGTTCAGGGACTTAAAAAAATGACATATAACCAGTGAAAAACCAGCGGCCCCTAGTTCTGTTCTCGTTAGTTTCGATTACAGCCTCTCGTCTTTCTCCCTCACCCGCAGTCTGTACTTCGACGGTGACTCTGAGCAGAGGGAGAGAAATGGAGATGGCGGTGAGCTTCCGTAACTCTTCTCTACCTCCGGTGACTAGCCCTAACCCTAGGCCTCAACTGTCGAAGCAATTCTTCGGCCTCAGATTATCTTCTTCTTCTTCTTCTTCGTTTCTAACGTCCAGAACGAGAATTACTCCTCTGAAACTCCGTTCTCGGAATTTCGCATTGCTTAGACCGATCAAATGCTCCGTTTCTCAGGCCACCACAGAAACTTCCACTGGTACGTTATTGTTTATATTCCAATTCTTTTAGAGTCTGGTTCAGGAACTTGTCTGGTGAAATGGTGAAGTTTTGTATTAGTTTCTGATTTTTACTCTGATTTAGGGAAGAAGAGTCAGTTAATGAGGAGAAGTGATATAAGGAATATAGCAATCGTGGCGCATGTTGATCATGGGAAGACAACTTTGGTTGATGCCATGTTGAAGCAAGCTAAGGTAATTCCGGACAAACTGGTTCTCATTTGAGCGGAAATTGCATGTTGGTGATTGTGGTTTCTGAACTTTGGTTGGTTGCAGGTTTTTCGTGATAATCAATTTGTACAAGAGAGGATAATGGATTCAAATGATCTTGAGCGTGAAAGGGGAATTACAATTCTTAGCAAGAATACATCAATCACGTATAAGGATACAAAAATTAATATTATAGACACTCCTGGGCACTCTGACTTTGGAGGTGAAGTGGAACGCATCCTCAATATGGTGGAAGGAGTTCTTCTAGTGGTACCATTCTGTGCCTTTGAAAGGAAGATTATGTTCAATCCTGTTTCTTCATAATTTGGGCATTAATTATTCTTTTCAAGATATCTTTTTCCATATTGATTTTTATTCCTTGTGTCCTGCCTATTTTGATGGCTTTCCCCATTATGCTACACTCTTATATGGAATTGTTTTATTGATGGATATGTGCTACCCTTTCTCTTTGTAGGTTGATTCTGCTGAGGGTCCAATGCCACAAACAAGGTTTGTTTTGAAGAAGGCTTTAGAATTTGGCCATGCTGTTGTTGTTGTTGTCAATAAGATTGACAGGCCCTCAGCTCGTCCGGATGATGTCATCAATTCAACTTTTGAACTTTTTATTGAATTAAATGCAACTGATGAACAGGTATGATAGTTTCCTTTTTCGCCAGAAACTTGTGTTCATAGAATTTAAGATGTTATAGAGAGTGGCAAATATCCATACCAGATCCTGTGCTTCATTCTAGCTCTAAATCTATAAGAATTGGCTCAATATTTTCGTACAACATTTTGCGTCTGAATTATAGATCCTTTAAAGCAGTGTGAACTAGGTTAGTGTTTATAATCAAGAAAGTTAAGAGACTGCTTCTTTTGTCCAGACTTCATCTTTGGAGATGGCTAAATGTCATCAAGATTGCACCTATACTCAAGTCCTATTTCTACATTAATTATGAATGCAGTGTGATTTCCAAGCAGTATATGCCAGTGGTATCAAAGGAAAGGCAGGACTTTCTCCCGATAACTTGGCAGAAGATCTTGGACCTCTCTTTGAGTCTATTATCAGATGCATACCTGGACCACGTATTAAGAAAGATGGTGCACTTCAAATGCTTGTTAGTAGTTGTTCCTTCTATTTTCTTTAATATGTGGTTTGACTGGTTGATCTTGTTCTTTGCCAAGTTGAATGTATATCATGCAATAATATCTATAGAACTGCATTACTAGGAGGTTGAAATGACAAGAAATTTTATTACAAAGATGATTAGTAGGATCATGATGAAATTTTTTGAAAAATTACATGATAAAATTTTGTGCCTTCTAAAATTTTTCTTACTGAGACCTTCTTTCAGTGTACCATGCTTCTTTGAAAATATTTGACTTCATGAGTAGAAGGGTTAAAATATGGAATTCATTTAACAAACTGATGGAATGGTATAGGGAAGTATGTTTAAATCAATGCAAAAATATTTGGTATTAGGAAATCCAAGTTAGAGAAAGCCTTGCAGAATTTCTCATTTTAAAAAAAAGTTGGACTAAGTACTTATCTTTTAAATTTGGGCATCTCATATCTGTATGGTCCTATTGTTTAGCCATTTAGGTAATGTCAGATTCTGCATAGAACTCATTTTTCCTTTTTTCTTCTTTTCTTTTTCTCAACTTAGTTTAAAATTTCTTGCTTATATATTAGGCAACAAACATTGAATATGATGAGCATAAGGGACGAATAGCTATTGGGCGCTTGCATGCTGGTATTCTGCAGAGAGGAACCGAAGTAAGGGTGAGTTTTCTTCTCTCTAGAATCTGTTTCAACTTCTGTACAATTTACAAATGACATGTCTATATTTAATCACTATCTTGAGTTCAAATATGAAAAGAAAAAATGCTTCCCTAATGTGATGTAGAAATGCAAAATGATAAGCCATATGTGGAAAATATAATAGAAGCTAGTTATTTTCTGATGATCATGTATCATCTGTTTGATGGAACTCCAATAGCAATTTGTGTAGTGAAGAAATTGCTTCTGAATTATTAGTAACTGATTGGACCATGCATAAATAAAACATCAAATGCATTCATCCTTTCTTACTTTTCTCTTGAAAATTTTCAGGTATGCACTTCAGAAGATTCATGTAGATTTGCAAGAGTTAGTGAACTTTTCGTCTATGAGAAATTCAGTAGGGTACCTGCTGAAAGTGTGGAAGCTGGTGATATTTGTGCTGTTTGTGGAATAGAAGATATTCAGGCAAGAGTCTATACCTTCGGTTTGGAACCACTAATATTATTATTTTAATTTTACAATTTTAACATTTAAAATAACTAATTTGGCTACTTTGACTAGATTGGGGAGACAATCGCTGACAAAGTATCTGGAAAGCCATTACCTGCCATTAAAGTGGAGGAACCAACTGTTAAAATGGCTTTCTCTATAAACACTTCACCATTTGTTGGTCGTGAGGTATGACATTTAAGTATCTACTTGTAACCATGAACTTTTTGTTGGCAACATAAACTTTTTTAATTTTTTTGACAAAGCTTTCTCTATAATATAAGCATTTCAACCATCTCTTACAGCCTTGACCCCCTACCAACCAAGTCTGTGCAATTTTGCAATCACTAGTTTGCATTATAAGTTTATAACTGAAAACATGTGATTCTCTCTACTTATATGTGTGAAAATTGTCTAGATGTCAAGCCAGTGATTTTAGTGACATGATTGTGCCTTTGCATTGACTAACTCTAACATGAATGGCTTTCTTTTTTTAATGCACATACTTGTACTGTAACAATGTAGCATGTGGGTGTTTATTTGCTAAGCAGTTTCCTTTCTTCTTTAGGGAAAGTATGTTACTAGCAGGAATCTACGAGATCGACTCAACCGTGAGCTTGAGAGAAATTTGGCTATGAGAGTTGAAGATGGTGAAACTGCAGATACATTTATTGTTAGTGGGCGTGGTACTTTACATATTACCATACTAATAGAAAACATGTAAGTATTAACTCTTGTTGCTTGCTATGTGTGGTATGCATAGCATATTAATAAAGAATTTTTCTTTCAGGCGGAGGGAAGGATATGAATTCATGGTGGGACCTCCCAAAGTTATTAACAAGAAGGTTGATGACAAGTTGATGGAGCCATATGAGGTAGTAATTCTCTTTAATCTCTATGGTCAGACCTGGATAGATGGTAGAAGACTACTTGACAATTGTGTTATAAGATTTGAGCCATTTTGAAGCAAGTGTTGAAAAAAAAAAATATTTAGGATTTATCAAATGCTCCAAAATAGATCTTATATCTTGTCATTCCTACAACCATTTAATCCATTTGTCTGGAATCATCTTTTCCTGACATGTGGATTCTTTAGATTGCCACTGTAGAAGTACCAGAAGAACATATGGGGGCTGTGGTGGAACTTCTTGGCAGAAGGCGTGGACAGATGATAGACATGCAAGGAGTTGGGTATGTAGGGTGTTACATTTGTGTTTTAATGAATGCATCTTATCAAACTTTAGTAACATTTTAGTTATGGCATACAACAGCAAGTTTCAAAGTGCAAGTGCATGGATTTATTTCAATCTCAAATGAATTTTATGATGCTAAAATAAATCTCTGATGGATGGTTTAGGCGTGAATATTGTTTGTTGTTCATGGAGAAACAAATTTCTATTTGTGACAATATGTATTTATTCATATTCCCATGCATATTGCACATGAATGGGGTGGACAAATATTCATCTAGCAACATGTTGATTAGATATTTTGTTACTTGAATTGGGATTGATTATCAATTTAATGCAAAAGCACTTAAATGATTGTTAGTACGGAATTTGTATGTCCATAAAGAGCAATTTAGGTACAGAATTTTAGTTACCGTAGCAGGAGTGCATGCTAGTGGTTGTCAGAAGCATCACTGATTAATTAAATGTATGTGGTATGCTTCTGTTTTTATTATCCTTCTGTTATCAGAGTTTTTCCTTCTTAAACCAGTCTTTATTTGTAATTGGGATTATTCGGCATGGTGTTGGTATAATTGATCCTATTTAGGGCCTTATCTCTTCCAAATCTGTCATTGATGGAAAATGTGCCCTTATTTATTCACCCTTTTGCAATAGAAAAAAATTTTGATATCTTCTGACTGAAATCAGGGACTTGTTGAATGGCATAAAATGTTTGTCACTGTATTTTTTTATGACATTTTACACCTTTTTAAATATTAAAATTGGTGTGGAATTCATATTATAGCAACTTTGGTATCTGAAAATTTGTGATTCACTTGTTAGGAAAATTGCCCTTCTCAATTTGTAGTAGTTTTGTTGCTCCTTTTGGCTAATTATCACCAGAGTATGAGTCATGGCGATTCATCCTTTTGCACCTTGGATGGCATAATACTAATCGTAATTTCAATTTGTTTGCTAGGTCCGAAGGCACAACACTGCTTAAATATAAGATCCCAACACGTGGCCTTCTTGGATTGCGCAATGCTATTTTGACAGCTTCTCGTGGCACAGCTATTCTGAACACGATTTTTGATAGCTATGGACCAGCGGCTGGTGACATTGTTACCCGAGATCAGGGGTCATTGGTAATTATTAACTGTCAGATTGATTTAAATTGCAATTTTTAATTATATGGTCATGTTTAATAGTTCATTTAGCTGCCGGCTGAGGCTCTGGTGGTTATCACTGTTTCCTTACTAGCAGTTATCTTTTAGCAATATTTAATTGCTATGTTTTTGTTGGTTTAGTACTTTACTTGATGAGGTACATCTGACTTCATAGTCACTTAAGCTGGCATCCATTTTCCGAGAAAAAATAATCTCTGTCAAGAAATTACATTTTAAATTTTCCTTTTCTTTATGTGCTTTTCCTGTGACCTTTTTTGAAGGGTTGAAATCTACTGCCTAAGTCAATGGAACCATATTGAATCCTCTGAGATTGATTTCAGGTTGCCTTTGAGGATGGTACGACCAGTTCTTATGCGCTTGCCAGTTCACAGGAGAGAGGACAGATGTTTGTTGGGCCTGGCATGGAGGTTTATAAAGGTCAAATTGTTGGAATCCATCAGCGGCCTGGGGACTTATCCCTTAATGTTTGCAAGAAAAAGGCTGCAACAAATGTACGTTCATCCAACAAAGATCAATCAGGTAAGAAGCAGCTCTAGGACATTACTCAATCTTCTTCTTTTCTGGTTTTGTTTTATAATTTTGTTAACTGGATTAGCTGTTCCATTTTCTGACATGATCAGAGTTCAATTCCTCTGCCTATAAAATCCTAACACACATTTCTTAGCAAAATGCTGTATTGTTTCATTTTATTTAATTTCTTATAATAATGAGGTCTTTATTTATCAGGTGACACTTGGATTTGATTAAAAGCATTTGCATAAAGAAAATCTATAAGTTTAGTACAGTTTCAAACTTTTTCTACATATAAGAAAGACTGAACAATTCTCAGAAAAAAAAAAGAAAAGAAAAAGAAACTAAAAGTTTAATAAACTTTATTTTTGTCTTCATTTTTTGCTTTTAGTGCCAAATTTCATATATTATTTCATGTTTTGTATTTCAAATATTTCTCATGTAGAGTGATATGGTACCGATACATTATGATGGCATAAGGCCCATAAGGCTACAAGTTTCAAATAAAAATGAAAACTACTGAATAAATAAATAATTAAATGTAGAATGCATACAAAATTTGAAGAAACAAAATTCAAAAAGATGTCAATATTACATGCCATAGATTGCATGTACAAATCATAGCGGAAGTTAAAAATATCATGCAAGAACTTGAATACTACTTCTAAAAGATCATATGTGGAGCAGGCACATGGAATACTAATTAACTGATCAAGATCTCTATCCACCCTACATTACAATGATATTTGCATATATGAAGGAAGATACTAATCTTGACCAGCTGCAATAAGATATAACTTTTTCTTATAAATTCTGCAGTATGATCAGCTACTGTAAAATACTTGATGGTCACATGTATCCATGTTTGTGTGCTCATGTTTGTTCTCTCTCCATTTTCCTATATGATTGGTTTCTCTATTTTCCCTTTATCTCCCTTCTTTTTTCACACTCTATCCTGCAGGCATCTCAGTTCTTTTGATAATCCATATTTTCCTTCCCATGCAGTGGTCCTTGACACCCCATTGGATTATAGTCTGGACGATTGCATTGAATACATTCAAGAAGATGAACTGGTGGAGGTCACTCCCTCAAGTGTCCGGATGTGCAAAAATCCAAAATTTGCTGCCTCCAAAAAGACTAGGCAATGATGTTGTAGCCTTAAAGTTTATAACTTGTGAGTCTACAAGCCAAGCTTCTCTCAGTTCTCAAACCAATCCCAATATGGTGACACTACAAACATCTCAAGTTTAAGAAAATCTTGCTGAATACATAATTTTTTCGCTCCTATATCCGAGCATTAGGAGTTCCCTTCTCACAGCATTTTTTGTGAATTTGAATTCTTCTTAGATATGAAGGTATTCAAATTTTCTTTTGTATTGTGGCTGCTGTATATAGTGTTGTGATAAGTGTTCCATAGATGATTAGTACCGCTTGGAATGGTGCAAGGATTTTTTTTTTTTTTTAAATACAATTGAAGACACTCAGCTATCTATTCAATTAGCAGGTGCATAGTAAAATCTCTGTTATCAAAAATCTCTTCGCTGTTTCTTACCTTCTTATGTAATCGCAACATATTTCTGGTTAGAAGAAAATATGTCTTCTACGACATTTCCCTGTGGACTTTAGGCCCAAGTGGTCTCATGGTGACCTGTAAACTGCTTCGTTTTGTTTTTTATTTTTATTTTTATTTTTATTTTTATTTTCTGTCAAGGTATTTATGGATCAGTTTTTGTATACTTTAAAATTAATTCTTTTTTAAGTGATTTTAAGAGTATACTTCTCATATCAATTTAGTGCATTCAATGAAATTAATTTTTTTGAGTATTGACTCCAAAGTTTGATCTACAAGATAATATTTACTTATTAATAGATCCAATTCTTAGGATTAACTGCCTTGTCTATTGATGCTAGCCAAAGAAGCCAAGGCTACAGTCTACAGATACTATCTTAAGTTCCGGGACCAATTTAAAGCCAATCTACCAAGTAGGGTCAAATTCCAAGTACAACAATGAGGACCATGGGAAGAGAAGAATTAGTCTCCATGTGTGATAATCTACCTCTAAAAACACCTTGACTTTAAAAATAAATTTATAAATAAACACAATAGCAATCTAATTAATGAGGATCATAATTTCAATTCTCCAAATAATTTAATGAGGAAACTCATATATTAGCATTCTGACCTACCATGAAAAGAGAAGATATGTGCTCAAAATTGGAATTTTGAATCATTCCATTGAAGTACTGCAGAGTGCAGTGGCCTGGTCTGACTTGGTTTGAAGGTCAATTTTCTCAAAAAGGTTTTAAAATATACTGTCCAATAAGGTAATAAATACTATTTTCAGAGAGAAAGAAAATATGACGTAAATTGTAATTTACCAACAGACATAATGTTTTTTTGAACTTTTTGTTATGGGCCGAATTCGAAACCCGGCTAAGGGAGAGGAATATGCACTTTTATCAATGACACTAGCCATTGGATCACAAAGGCCAAGTGCCCAACAGACATAATGTTGGTAAACATTTTTCTGGAAAAAAAAATAACATAGTTTCTTCAATTAACACTCAAATTAATGTATGTTTTTATTTAATTTAATCTATTTGTTGCCAAATGTCAATTAATTTATAACTTTCAATTTTATAAAAAAGCAAATATGATATCAAAATTTTACAATAAAAATAAAAAATTATTCAATCTATTTGCTCAAACTAATGTTGAAAACATAATTGAAAAAAAAAAAGGAAAATAAGGCAAATATAAGATATAATTGAAGAGCAGAATAAAAAAAAATTAAAAATTTCCTTAATTAAAGAGATGATATATATAGAGCACCACTTCCTACAAAAAATGGTAAAATATAAATTAATTTAATATTTACATATAAATTCAAATAAAAAATACAATCAAAATATGATTGATATTAAATTTTAGCTTAGATGAATAAAATATATTTGCCCAAGGTTTATCTCCCAATGTTTCCTACAAAACAATATTAAAAAAATAAAATTAGAACTCCAAATAGATTGAATAGTTCAAATTACTGTTTTATCGATTAGGAAAAATGAATAGAAGAGAAAAAAAGAGAGGAGACGGAGAAGAAACAAACCCAAAAAAACATGAATATAATGTAATTATAAATAAGAAAAAAAATCAGTAGCATTTGATAGAAGAGAAAGGAGAAGAGAAAGATAAGGGAGAAAGAAGAAAGAAGAAAGAAGAATAAGAGGGAAGGAAAAAAATGAGTAGCTTATGGAATTCTGGTATAATATAGTGCCCTTTACCTACGTGTCTGACATTGGAATTTTATTTACCAATGTAATACACATTGGCACTTAATCAATTTCAGTGGAAGGGGAAAAATGTAAAAATTTAGGATAATTATACATACACCCAAAAAATCAACATCCATCTCAACACCCAAGGCTAAAATAAGGATGGGTAAATTTGTAATTTTACTGTTCATAAATCTTGAGTGTTGAGATGTGTGTTGATTTTTTGAGTGTATGTATAATTATCCAAAAATTTATCATTTCCCTCTTTAAATTTACCTTCAAGATCCATGTTGAAATGTGAAAAATTGATGGCTAAAAAAATGAAAACATTTTACATTTCCCGCTTATCATTTACCGATGAGGTTCATTTTGGAAAATGAAAGAAAAGAAGCTAAAATAGGCTTCAAAAAGTTAAAGTCGGCACCATTTAGTACTTACCAAAGTGGAACATGTTTGAAAAAAGAAAATACCAATATGCTACACCTCGATATGTCCAAACAGTGCAGGTCAATTGCCAGTTTCTAGATTTCATTCCCTTTTCATGTCAATTTTTGAATTTGTTCAATAGGTTTCTTGCATTTTAGTCATTTTAGTAGACATAAATTCTAGAAAAAATTTGTAGAGTTTCTCCATATATATGATAAAAGCTAATTTTGTTTTGAACCTGTATTTAGAATTTTGCGACTTTGCCATACTAAAAGCAATTATGTGTTTTCAACCACAAGCCATTGTCCTAACTGCGCAAATTTCACCAAAAAATTGTTTGCCACAACTCTGAATCGGAAACAAAAGAAATTTTGATCATCAATAAAAATTTTTTAAATTTGATACATCAAGATAAATTTTACCCTAGTTACTTTCAAGTGTTATCATCATAACGTGTACTAATCTTTTTTTTTTTTTTGGGTGTCATAGGATGTCTCTTCATAATCCCTGTGTAGAGGCAATAGACTGGAGACCTAGGCCACCAAAACCACACAACCCAGTACCTACACCCCAGTTGGGAGAGGATCAAACACCTTCTTTAGAACCAATAGACCCTAAATAAGTCATTCCTAACTTAGAACGAGAAGACGTTGGGAGTGATTCTGATCATGAGAAGCTCCCAAGGAAGAGGGGTTAGGGAGTCATAAAAGGGTATGAAATGCTGAGGAACCTAGTTGATCGGATATGGATACACACCGATGAGCAAGAGAGATATTGCCACATGGGATGTTGCTAGATAAGGTACTTAGCACCATCTCCTCATAGCTAAAGGCATACTTGCCGACACCATACACAGCTTGGGGCATGGTGACTCCCCCACAGTCAGATATTTATTGGAATTCTGTGTCAATACTCTATGAATTTGAGTTTTAATATTATGATTTACTTGTATGTTCAAACATAGTTAAGTTAACTACTATTATGATTATTTTTAGGCAACATTCTAGTGGGAGGAAGTAGACCAAGGGGTTATACAGAATGCTTGGTTGGCAGAGTGTAACAGAAGGATGATTAGTACTGTGTCAAAATTGAAGGCTCAGTGTGTTAAGGACAAATTCCAAAAAATGCCATTATACATTCCCCACTCAGTGTGATCAGGACGTGTAAAGATTTGGACAAAGGACAAAAAGAGTAAGAAAACATCAAATATTGCATGGATAAACCAAGAAAAAGGATCTATTGTGACTCAAATTGGGGGCTCCATGTCACATAAGATGTACATGGAAAAATTGGTACATTTCACTTTTACTCTTTTTTTCTTTCTTTCCAATGAGTACATTCAACTTTTACTTTTAAATTAGTTCATTAACATATTTTCAAGCTAATTAAGTACCTAACAACTTCCTAAATTCTTTGATATTCTAGAAAGGTCAAATGCCTAACAATCAATCATCAACTAGCCTAGATGGTTACATGCATAGGCATTCCAAGCCGGGTCCCACCTAGGAAGCGCCACGCGTGTTTTGTAATATGTTTACTGAGATAATTGCAGTAAATATTATATGATCATTTTTTACCCTATGATACTTTGATTAGTTTTATTTTAGTATATATAAACTCAAAATTAAACTTTATATCATGTTTGATAGTGTTGATTTGAATTTGATAAAAAGATGTCATCTACCATATAATCTATAAATATTTAGTGAATGACTTGAATGATAGAGTTGTGGATTAATGACTTGAATGATGGAGTTGTGTGTTAAATAAGTATTCTTTGTAATGGAATGTGGTGTTAAATTTATTTAATAGCATGGCCTAAATCTTATTTTTAGGGGAAATTTTGTCAAATTTTCATTTGACATTAATAAATAATATGATATTAAATTAATTTTTTAGTTCTTTTTTCGTAGATTGGTGTAGTCTCATGAATGACACAAGAATTTGATTTGGAATTTAAAATATTAATCAAATTAATTTAAAAAATGAAAATGCAAGTGTTTTGTCATTAATTAATTTAAAAATAAAATGTAAATTTATAAACACCTAATATTAAGGATCTATTTTGTTAATAGAAAATGATTTCTAAAAGATTATTTTCTACATTTATTTGGTAAGCAAAGAAAACAGTATCATCTATCATATGATTTTAGATATTTAATGAATTACTTGAATGATGGAGTTGGGTGTTAAATAAGTGTTTTTTATAATGGAATTTGGTATTAAATTTATTTGCTAACAAGGGCTAAGTACTATTTTTACTATTTTTAGGGGAGCTTTTGTCAAATTTTATTTTGATATTAATAAATAATATGATTTGAAATTAATTTTTCTTTTTCTTTTTTTTTTTGCAGAATAGTGTAGTGTCATAGATGACACAAGAATTTAATACACCTAACAACACATAGTGGCAATTGGATGATGAGATGTACAGGCATGCCTTGGTTGATACAAGAGAAGGGCCTAAAAAGGGTTTTTAAGTTAGGTTACCACAACATGAGAGGCCAGAGTCTGTAGGTGTATACATGTAGAAATGCTATCAGAAGAACTATAGTGACAATGCGAACATTACTAGGCAAAATGATGTTTTCTAGCTCCAAAATAAGGTGACTATTTTCGAGGAGCAGAATCGTGCTTTATGGAGGAATTGCAGTTGATTAAGCAACATCTTGGCATATTATCTCAAGAAGGGACATGTTCCTTTGGTGGCACCCCCATTGCATCTAGAGGTGCGTCTACACCTAGTGATAAGCCCTCCACATAAATTATGTGGATGTGAAATATATTTTGTGTATTTACATTAGTATAAGGTCTTTTAAAGTATTTAATATGGAAAATGACATATTTACTTTATTTATAGTTTCATATTTGGGATTTTGAACATGACATATATTTTGTGATGTATATATATTTTCTGTGTATGTATATATATATGGGGCTTTATATAATGAATATGTCAATAGGTACTAGTATTTTTATTTGAAAACAACTAGGGATATTTTGTCTTATGTGTGGAGTTATTGTCTCTAGATTTATTATTTCAATACAATGCATTCTAGTAACCATATTTTACAGCATACCATGTTAGAAAACACTTGTTGTGATATATGATTACAAAATAAGTATATTGTGATTTTACCAAAATTTTACAAAATGTTGTCCTTCCCTCCAGGAACTTATTCTGCACCATTCCCCAAAAAATAAAGGTGTTAATTTTTCTCTTTAAATTTATAGAATTTGAAGTATTTTCCAGTGCATTGCACTAGAAAATAAGCATTATTCACCATTTTCCTGAAAATTTTTGAAATGCTACCTTATTCTATTGTAAGCGTCGAAATTCAAGTTATTTTGCTACGCATTGCACTAGAAAATAAGCATTTTCTTTTATTATTTTCAAATTTTAGATCATATTCCAACACATTACACTGGAAAATAAGAATTCTTCACCATCCTACTACTAAAACTTTCAAAAATGTTGCCTTTTCTCTTCTAATTTTCAAAATGTAGATTATTTTCAAGCACAGTGAACTGGAAAATAATTCAATGTCTATATAAATCTACTTCCTCTTTATGTGCTCCTTCATCTTCTCCTTTACCACTTTTTCTACTTCTTGTTTCTCTCCATTTCCTTCTTCTCCTTTTATTCTACTTTCTTTTTCATGTGCTCTCTCTATTTCCTCTTCATTTTCTTCTAGATTCCTTCCCATGTTCATTCCATTCTCTCATCCTCCTCTTCTCAAATTTGTTAATTTTTGCTAATTTTCAGTTAAAAAGTGTACAAATTCTTTTTTTATTTTAGGTATATATATAGTTATATGTTCATGCATTCCAATTGAAGGTATTATTAATTTACATTTATAATTGTTTTCTAATTTTCACTTATTTTCATTCCATTTCCTCTTCCTCCTCTCCTTAAAATTTTTAATTTATACTAATATTCACTTAAGAAGTATACTAATTCATTCTTCTTTTGTTTTAGGCATATAGTTATATGTCCATTCATTTTAATTAAAGGTATTATTAATTTACATTTATTGTTGTTTTCTAATATTCTTTTGGATATTACACTAATTCATTTATATTATCTTCCTACTTCCTAGCAACTAATTTTTTTTTTAAATGTTGAAATTAGAACTATTATTCATCTCAATTTATTAGTAGTGTAATTTTCATTTGTTCTATTTTTATAAGCTCTCATGCATCTAACTAATTTAAGTTTGTATATACCTTTTGTAATTTTATGAATTATATGGTAGTAACATACATTTATGTGTTTAATTGAATTTTTTTGAAAAAAAATTAAGAAAATACATGTATTATGTAAAGTTCTATATACAATTGAATTTATAGAATAAAGTTTTCCAAATACAATTGGGTTTATATGTGTAGTGTCTATTAATTTAAGTTGATTTAATTAATTTATTATATGTGAAATACTTTTATTTATTTAAATGATATTATTTTTAAGATAATTGTATGTGGTGTGTGTATATATATTACAATTAGAATTAATTTTAACTGAAAATTATAATATTTAAAAAAATAGAAATTATTTTTTTTTATTAAGCAACTCTTTGTTTCTAGTGCATTCCACTGGAAACTAATACTCAGTCGAAAACTTTTTTTTTTCATCTCAACAAGAACTTCCAGCATATTGCACTAGCAAATGAATTAATTGTGTACATTATCCTCAACCTTATTTTCCAATGTGCCACTGGAAAATAAATACTCTATTTTTTGACAGTATCAAGCACAAGAAGTTTCCCAGCTGACAAAGGTTACGGTCAATATCATCTTCCAAATGGTCTATTTTTTGACAGCTTCAAGCACTGGAAGCTTCCCAGCTGA